GGCTTGCCCACGGGGGAGTGCGTTCGCGGGTGTTTCGCGGGTGTTTCGGGGAGTCTGTACACACCCGTGGGTGCACCCACCGAGGGGTGCCGTGCCCTGCAGTGCCGGTGCCGTGCAAGGGCTCGTGTGGGGCTGTATGCTTGTGCACACACATGCTGCGCGCCAGACTTTGTGTGCCAGGGACCACGCGCTGCTGGTTGCGGCTGCACTTGCTCGTGGGTGTCTGCCCCATGGGGCATGCGCAGGCGCAGGCTCACGGGTGTGGACATGGGTGTTCGTGTGCCGGCGCACGTGTGTGATGTGTGTGGGGCGGCAGCTGCCAGACTTCAGCTTGGACCCCGGCTTCTTTCCAGTTTGGGCCTCTTCGGGGTTTCAGCGTGCCGTGGCTACGGTGCCGGGGGCGCCGGCTGCCGGAGCAGGCCTGACCCATCTTCCCTGTGGCTCCGGCTGCTCCTGCAGGATTGACATCACTCTGCGCTAAATCCATGAGTGGGAGGCTGGGGCTTGGGAGGGGACCAGAGGGGGGAAGCAACATCCCCACTCAAGTGTCCCAATGGGTGACCGGGTACTGGACGGCCACGTGAGCACTGCCCCTGCATCCCCACGCATCCCGGTGCTGGCTCCGTCCTGCTCCCGACCAAGCAACAAAGCCCCAAACCACCATTTTCCCCCAATATTTTTCTATTTGCTGGAGGCTTTTCAGCCCAAAAATTGAGAAATACCAGTGCCAAGAGGATTTGTTTCCCACGGGACATGGAAATGATGCCATGGGACTCCAACAGCCTTTTCTCCCCCAGCATCAAGCAAAGCAGGGAAAAATAAATAAAATTAAAGCAAAACTGCAAATGCCTGTGCATGTTCTTTCCAAGCCCGGTATTTTTCCACTGGAAACGACCCCAAAATGCCAGAGGCGGGGGATGCTCTGCTCTCCCACACCCCTATCCCTGCATTTTGTGCTGGGGAAGTCCAGACCAGTGCCTTCACTTGCAGCCGGTAAAGTGATTTTGCAGGCAGTTTGGCTGGAGCTGCTGGTGCGTGCTGGAGGGTTGGATTTTTAACCCGCTCCCGGCACTAAACTGGGTTTTGAAAGCCAGAAAAGTTTTTTTCCGAGTGTCTTTGCTGTTTGCTTGGACGTGAGTATCTTGGTGTCACTGGCAGGTTCAAGGATGCGTTGCAGCATCCTGGGATCTCTGGTTTTTGCCCTTGCAAAAATCAAATCTCCTTGGTCTAGAGGGGCATGTCACCTAAGGGTGTGGACAGTGACCCATCTCTGTGGTCCACGGACCATCCTCTTGGCACCCTTCTCTCCAGCGCTGGGATTCCAGCCTGGCCCACCTTTGGGGTGGGTCAGATGGAGGCAGATGGTTGCCCTGTGCCATGAGCTGAGACCTGCAGACTTGTTGCAGGCGCTGGGCAAGCACAGGGCAGCATTGTTGTCCCATGGTGGGCACTGGCGTGGCTGAGCCGCCTCTGCTCCCCGCATTTCTGCACATGGCCACGTCCCTGCAGCTGAATCCAGCAGCCCCTGGAGCACAAGGTGAAGCCTTTTGGGGCAAAACTAACCTTTTTTTTGGG